GTATCTTTTGTTGTTGTTTTATTTCAGATAAACTTTCAGGTACAGGTGCATTCCCCAAACTCATGCACAGAGATGTTTCTCAATTCGCTACATGTTGAATTATGGTTTTCAAGCCCTGATTCAAAAGTTAGTTGTCACTTTCATTACGCTTTCCTTGACCTTGACCTATTGTTTGTTACACTTCACTGTGTTACTACAAATACACTCCGGTCAAGTGAAACAAGTAATTTTTATGTTCCATTTGTGGAAACGTTTAGTGAAGTCAAGCACTGCCAATTAAAATAGTGGGTGCCCATTTTCAGTATACAATAATTTTATGATTCAATCAATGTCACAGTTATGTCCCTAAAATATTGTATTTTTATTTCTAATGGACAGGTATTATGAGCTGTAAAGTATTTTTGTACAAATGTAATACTTTGTTAGCATGATGTTTATCGTCTATGTATAAATTTGGGGATTCCTACAGCTGTAATCCTTTGTATGGCCGACGAACAGAGAAACAATAAAACAACATGCCGAGTGAAGTTCATCTAATGATGCAGGTATGTTGTACAATTTAAAGATCCCCTGCCACTCACATTGACGACATAGTACAGATTTAGGATACAAGCAGATAGTAAACGACTGATGCATAGGAAACTCATATTTCCAATTCAGACGTTTATTACGGCATGTCACGTATTCAAATTAGAAACATGAAGTAGCCTAAATAAAATTATACAGTGAACAATGAACTCAAATAACATCATCTGAATATGAAATTATCAATAATATTCATTTCTATCACTCGTTATGATTCATAAAACATGCCCTTCAAACTAGAGCCTACAGCATTAGCAAAATAAAGCGCAAAGAGGGTTGCACACTGGACAAGAAGCACCACATGTTAAAAATTTGACTTCAGCATCAATTCCTGCCACACCACTCATATCATTTTCCATTTAACTGCATTTACAATTATTTGAGATAAATATTTGTACATACTGATTTCACCCTTGGCTGCAAGAGTGCACTTTCCACTAATAAATTTGTTTCTTGGCTTGAATAACGTCTATGCTTCATATGAAATAGTAATATTGATTGCCCTTTCTTTTTCCGTTTGCACAGTTTTTGTTCTAACTAAATCTAAATTGAAACTCACTGATGCCATTTGGTTCATTTTCAAAGTTAACGTTTGCCTGTATAGACCTACTATTGATTAGAGTCACTTCTTTGAATTGCCTCCTTAAAGGTGACACATCATGAAAATCTGACTTTTTCCATGTTTAAGTGCCATAATCAGGTCTCCGGTGCTTCTACCAACCCAGAAAACATGAACAAGAACAACCCAGTAAATTTGTTTGCAAGCCTGGGAAAAAACTAGCCGCTCAGATTTCGCTCCCCCCGTGATGTAGAAAGGTGATCTTATTATAATATTACCGCCCCTTAATCTGCACGTTTCCACCCACGGCACCGCCACTGTGTTTTCGCAAGCGACAACGGTGTATCAGTCCTAACGCCATGTTGAAAGTTTGAGCAAAGCATGCTAACTGTTCTGTCTTTGGCTGCACTGACGAGCACAGAACACTATTTAGAGTCCCAGCTTCAGAGGAGACAAGAGAGCAGAGGATTTATTTATTTATTTACTTTATAATTACACTGCTGCCACGCAGATCTAATATAAATATGCATTTTCTTTCCCAGCTGTTTACCTTCACAGACATAACCGACTGTATTTGTAACTCGTGTGTTTTTAACAAACTTGTGTCTATTTGACAGTTTAAGCGCAATAAGACACGAAAGAAAACTCACATGCCAAGTGACAGCCGCTTTGCTTTTCTGTGCGCGTGCTAAGGATGTGTGCGCTCAAAAAACAGTATATCAAAAGTTTAAAATAATATGGTTTAAAATGCATGATTTCAACGCGATAGACATAATCAAAACCAAACGGATGTTTTTAGCAGAGTATCTGAGGAACGAGCTGTAAAGGCACAGCCCCATTCTGGGAAAACTAGGTGTTGAGCAACAGCTCATTTGCATTTAAAGAGACAGGCACGAAACAGCCTGTTTCTGCTTCCACTCAAAATAGGCATTTTCAAAATATGATATGATAAATTATCTGTGGGATATTTTGAGCAGAAACTTCACAGACACATTCTGGGGACACCTGAGACTTATTACATATTGTAAGAATGGGCATAACAGGTCTCCTTTAAACTTGAATAAGTGAGTACACAATGACAAGTCTGGTGTGAGATGTCCAAGGCGCAGCCCTTCTCGTCCAGTGTGCCACCTGGAGTATTAGGAGACGAGGCTGCTTTTTCATCCCATTCTCTCTCAAATGAGAATGGGTTGGCTTTTTTAATGGATGTCAATGGCAGAGAGGCATTTATTAGAGTTCAGTGCGTTACTATTTTGTATAAGAAATCACTGCAAACGATTCAGTGCATGAGTGACCTGTCTGAGGCCATGTCCACACGTACACAGGTATTTTTATAAACAGAGTTTTTCCTTCTTCCGTTTTAAAAAAAATCTCCGTCCACATGAAAACGCAAACGCATGCTGTGAAGCACTGTCAAGAGCATGCTAAACCAACAGGTGGCGATATAATCTCAACCGTAAAGCCATGTTGGCCAATCAGAAGCCTAAAAAAGTTTCCTGTAGGCGGAGATAACAGCGCAGGCTCCGACGTCACAAGCCAAAAACTCCGGTTTCGCTGTCTACACGATAACACTGCAACCGGAGTTTTTGAAAATCTTCACCCTGGCAGGCGTTTTCAAAAATGTTCTGTTTCAGTGATCTGGTGCAGCATTTGCATGTGGACGAATGGCCAAACCGCGTAGAAAAAGCTGTGGTTTTAAAAATAACCGCATTCGTGTGGACAGGGCCTGAATGAATGAAACTGAACTGTGAATGTTTTCAGACCTTTAACTGCAAACCAGTTTAACTGATTGGATCAATAGTGATTAATTCATGAATCTGACTGATAGAAACACAAATGACGTTATTGCTGAGAAAATGATTGTCAAGTTAGTATATGGTAATCATCATCAGACAGAGATATCTCAGGAATATTTTACTGGATCACAGCTGTATTTTACTGGGGCCCAATAAAAAGCAACAGATATTTCTTCTGCATTATAACCAAATGAAGTGGATTATCTAAAAAAAACATGAAAAGTGGTGACTTTGTTCATATTGGTCAAACATGCAAACATGCAGTCGAGCGCAAGAAAGGAGGGTGTTTTAAGCAAAATAAATTATTTGAGAAGTCCAGTGTCATGAGAAATCATCCCCCATAGGACCCCAAGCAAACCCATTGGCTTTTAGTGCCTGGTTACATTACGATACATGTCAAAATCACAGTATGATAAATATCATAGTCACTAATAACTATTAATGTCTGTTTTAGTTAGCTTAGCATACAGACAGCTGATTATGTAGAGTCTGCAGACTTGCTACTTGACTGTCATTTCACTACCAGATGCTTTCCATTCAGAAAAGCATTTCCAGCTCTTGTCTCCCTGAGTAAGCAAGTGGTAAGTGTCATGCTCAAGGAGCAGTGCTGATGGAGTGGGATCGATCTCACTATCTCTTCTCTTAGAGGCTCAGATACATAACCATTAAGCGTTCACTTGTTTGAACCATTTCTACTACTTTAAATTATAAGCAGCTTACAGCTTGACAAGCACCAGTTCCAAGCAGCTTTCCTAAAACTACCCTGGTTCTGTCACGTTTGTTGTTAGTAGGAAGAGCTCTATCTGGTGGTCACTCGGGGTACAGACTCGCAAGCAGTTATGATTACCAAGGTTGTTTATTTTTCTAAAGCTTTTGGTGGTTCAGTAATTTAAATCTACTAAGCAGCTATAGAATTACTCTTTATAATGAAGATGAATGGTGCATGTTGGAAATTTAAATAAGATCTAATTTGAATCACACCAGCTGTTACAAAAACACCTTAAATTAAAGATAAGCTATATTCCTCTGACTGCATGATGATTTTAAAGACTTTCTTGGCCTTAAAGTATAATAATATAGTATATAATAGTATAGTAATATAATAGTTCACCCCAAAAGTACTCAACCACGGGCCATACAAGATGTAGATGAGTTTGTTTCTTCATTGGAACAGATTTGGAGAACATTAGATATTTTCTTGTTTTTTAGATTTTATAAAGATTTTATAGACGCATTACATCACTTGCTCACCAGTGGACCTTCTACGGTGAATGGGTGCCAGAAAGTGATTTTTTTTTTGTTGTTGCAAAAAGCTACATGTTGGTAATAAACAAATCAAGACATTTTTTACTTAAAACCGTAGCTTCAAATACAATTGCTCTATTCATAACATTGCTTTCTCAAGTGAAAAAGTAGTCTCATCTGAATCAGAAGAGAAATATGCACAGATCAAGCACCATTTACAAACCAAAACATGTCTAAATAAATATGTTGGTGGATTTCGATGTGAGAGGACAGCAGGGGATGGATTTGTTATTATATTAAGTATTATTATGGATTACGGACCGAAATATTCACGTTTTAAAGTTAAAATCCCTTAATTATAGATTTGTTTCTTACAAACATGCAGATTTTCACTTCACAGTTTGTTAATTGATGGACCGGAGTCATTTGGTTTACTTGTTGTGATGCTTTTATTAGCTGTTTGTCTCTCAATCTGACGGCACCCATTCACAGCAATGGATCAATTGGTGAGCAAGTGATGCAATGCTAAATTTCTCCAAATCTGTTTTGATGAAGAAACAAACTCATCTACATCTTGGATGGCCTGAGGGTGAGTACATTTTCAGCAAATCTTAATTTTTGGGTGAAATATTCCTTTAAGATTGCTGGTAATGTAACTATTCTTTTTCTATTAGCCTGTAATAGCTACTATAGTGTAAAAGGAAAAACAAGGATTGGAAATAGAAAAGGAGCCACTGCAATGTGCCACATGAAAGAAATGATGTGATGGAAAGCATCCCCTGAATGCAATAAGCCATAAGGTTACTCAGAAACACCTGGGAATGGATACAGGGGATGCAGAAGACAGTGTACTTCCAAATTAATTATGTGGCCATGTCCCTGAGGCTGGCTCCACATAGACTTTAATGAAATGCTGTGTGGATTCCATAAAGAGCTGGCTTCACCTCAAGCTCCTGAGGGAAAGCAACGGGCAGTGGTGCACTTTGTTAAGCATGCCCAAGAGAGACTGTGAGCAACCTATGCAGCAACTCTGACACTAAACAAATCCCACAGGCATGTCATTACATGGCCGAAACCAGTGCACAAAAGAGAAAGACAATAGTATTCTCTTTGCAGATGAGGTTGTAATTAAACCTGAAGGAAATTACTTTTTTCGACCACTGCTGGGGTTATAAAATAAGAGGAATATTAAAAATAGCACAATGAATCGTCTGAGTATGAGCATGTGTCGGTTAAATATGAGGTGGAGCTCTCCGCGGGGTCTTTTACTTACTTGCGTTAGCTGATTAGCACCACAAAGGAAGAAAGCAGGTGCAGGAAACCCCTCTGAGAATGGAAAAGAGATGACAGAAAACGTGTGTGGATTCTCCAACGTACCTGTTGGGAAATTTAAATTAAGGCGTTTGGAATGAATTATGTAAAGAAGAATCGTGATTGAATTTGGATGTGTGCTAATTCATATCCTCCAAGGTCATCTCCTGAATGACCTGTGCTGCATATAATAGTGTATACTTAGAGGTGCAACTCTGGTGGGGGACCAAAACAGTGTTTGGGGGATGATTGGTAATTTTAGAAAATGCAAAACTAGTCTTCCAAATGGTATCGTTTTTAATCTCATTTACATTGTCATATGTCAGGAATTGTATAAATCAGGAAGACTGGGTCAAGTTATCACAAGGTCTACATCTAAGCAACCTTATAAGCTTAAAAGTAGTTAAGGGAGACATCCAAAATGTGTACTATTGTGGGGTGTCCAAGAAAGTTGTAATTATTGAGGGTTAAAAAAAATCCCCAAAAAGTGATAGCATAAGATGGTTTTACCAGTCATTCTAAAATGTAGGGTACATTACATGTCCACTGATGTTGATTATATTTTTTCTAACAATTTTCTTATCCATTATGTGAACAGCTTATCTAAAAAAAAGTTGTTCATCCTGTTCCATTTTTCTTGAAATTACCCTGTTGTCCCCTACATTTTTTCCGTGTCTGTTTTTGACACGAGAGGGTCGTGAGTTCAAAGTAATTAATAAAAATGCTACAGTCAACTATCTATAATAAAGTTATTTCTAAAATCTGCATGTCAGAAAAATAAATTAACCAAATGAGTAAAAATGGTTTATTACAACACCATGTGACCAGCATCATTTGGTAATTTTCTTGTGTAGATTTTGAACACAATATTGTAAGTGTCTTTTTTTTTCAATATTTTATTTACAATAACCGATTGTCAAGGCATATATTCATTTGCTATCAGCTATGTTTGGTACATGGGTTGCAATATTTTATGATTTTAATATATTCAAATTTGAAGTTAACCTGATCAAGGAAATGTGTCTGAAATTATCAAAATCCAGTCAAAATGGTGAAAGTGTCTCTTTTTTAACATTTGAAATAACTAGAATGCTGGTTCTCTTATCTTTTCAGGGTATATTTAATATTCACACAGATTGGAGTTTTGCATAACATCTACTAAAATCACCAAAATTATCTTTAAGGCAGAATAATTATTAAATTACTTTCTTGACTGTGCTGAGAATATCACAATGATATCTGCAAAAATATGATTCTTAAAATTATTTTAAAACAATCACTGTACATACATGTCCATAACATATTGTAATTTCACCAAATATCCTTCCCTTGGCAACTAGGCTACCATACACTTATGAAAAACATTATAGGCTATAAACTGAAACCAAACCATTTTGATGTGAAATGTAGGCTACCCCCAATTATAAAATGACCCATATAGTTGTCAAAATTGCCAATTAGTTATCAAATTGTTGTGTCGTGATATTTATATGGTGCTTCAAAGTTGTTCAAATAATAGACCAGGGGTGTGGACTCGAGTCACTTGACTCGAGACTTGACTCGGACTCGAGTCCCAAATTTGATGACTTGCGACTCGACTCGAAATAATTAAAGAAGACTTGAGACTCGACTTAGACTTTTGACAGCCGAGACTTGACTTGGACTTGAGCCCTGTGACTCGGAAAGACTTTATGATCAGATCAAAGTCGTTATAGACGCGTCCCTGCAGCGTTGCGCTTGACTGGCAACAAGCCAGAGACTGCGTTCAGTGAGTGCTGGATAGGCTAGTATAAATTACTGGAGTAATAGCATAACTTACGACAAAAGAGAACAGAGATAATAAAAATAACAAATTACATGATTCGTCTAGTAAGTAGCGATCTCCGCTCGTGAAAAGCGCTGCCCTGTCCGTTTGACCGCCGCCCAGCAGACACCCGGCGCGGGCCAGAGAAACTTCACTGCTGCTCACACACGGAGCGGGCCAGAGAAACTTCACTGCTGCTCGCCTCATCATCACTGTGACCGCTGCTTGTAAATATTCCTCATTTCTTCTGTTTGTCCGACACCGAGGTGCACCATGAGTGACGGATCCGCATCCCGCCACGACCCTCGCACTCTGCCAACTCGATGTGCTTTCATTTTCATTTTTATTTGTAATAAACACCTCTCTGAGACCTGTTTTTGTCAGATCTCCACTGTTTTTGTTCGATCAGTTATATTTTAATTGCATGTGCATTTTTTTTTTATTTAAACCTCCATTAACCCTTAAATGCATGAATGTTTCGCCAATCATTATATTCGGGTCTTATAGCCACCCGGACCTACACTCTAAAAAATGCTGGGTTAAAAAGGGACAAACCCAGCTATTGGGTTGTTTTGACCCAGCGGTTGTGTTCAAAACAACCCAACCGCTGGGTCAAAACAACCCAATAGCTGGGTTTGTCCCTTTTTAACCCAGCGCTGGGTTATATTTGACCCAGCATTTTTTAGAGTGTATACAGCACGGATGGATCTTTCTTTAACTGCTGCAATAGCAAAAAACTCTCTTGAAACACCCCTACCCACCCCCACAAAAGCAGGATGGTGGTGATCTTACATAGCTCTGACAGTGTGTATGCACACATCTATGTGTCACCATTTGTCCACATTTGAACAGAGTGGACAGTGAAATCTTGTAAATACAGGATAAGGAAGAAAAAAAAAATCAAACCTGCTTTAAAACCCAGCAACACAACTGTAGCTGTACAACTTTACAACA